ACACATCAGCAGTATGTATATACACGTTCAGTGCGAAATAACAAACGTGATATTAACAGCTGAGCAAAAGAAAAATTCCCGATAGTTCAATGTGTGAAATATGACGTAAACAACGTTGGTGTTCAATGGTGGTGTATCTGAGTATCCGGGTAATATTTTGGAACTCAGGTTTGCATAGTTTTGCCACCATTTTCAGCCTAGTATCTTTTTGTGAACGTTTGTAATTGTTTGGTTAAATCCAGTTATCGAGTGTATACTTTCTTTTGAGCGTCAGTTTACCTCTTTGTAGGAATTGTTTATTGTTTTTTCCGGGATAAGAGGATGGGCGGAAAATGTAACGGAACAATTACCAACCAGCAGTAGAATGTTACTTAACTGCACCTACATCGATGAAGAGGCATGATTGGAGATATATCACAGCGGCTGGTCTGTACACAGAAGTGGTTCACAATGCAAATTCATAGGCTTTGCTGATTGAAGCGCAAGCGCATTTAACACAACACTACCGCAGTCGTGGAAAATGAACTGAATCAGTGGGATGAATTGTCACCTGAGAACTTATCGATGCTAATCAGGGCATTTCTAGTCAAATCTGTTGTCTCAAGATGAATTTTGCACATATAGAGTGTTTCATTGGTGAAATTGCAAGTAGTTAAGCAGTTGTGATAACTCCCTATAATGCTTTCAGATATCGGTTTTCAACTGCTGAATAATCCCGTAATAAGCGGCAGACTAGCGTCTGACAAGATACCTTAACAATAATTATATATTACAACTTCACGTGTTGTACTAGTCACGTGTGCATTTGGTCGTGTTGCTGTGATAAGGGACCTGGCTTGTTAACATTGATAGCCAGATGCTTTTGTGTTTGTAGGTGAAATATGTGATGAACTGACAGTGAGCTTTAAATGTACGATTGCGTTACCTGGAACTAAACGATTTATATATCGAATACGGGATTGAGGCCAAAATACTTTGTTCAAGGTTATAATTTGGTCAAGGTAAATGAAAGCACTAGTGTTCCTATATCAGAAATATCATCACGCTTGCTTAAAATCTTGACTAGATTACAAAGACTTGTAAATGAATAACTGTCATTGTCAAAAGACACCAAGATGACCTAATATCGGGGTAATATCAAATCAGTTCTGAATACATGAATGTAAACTTCATTGGGTATCATTATGTCTTATCTTCGGAATGATATAAGAAAGACTTTCGAATAAACAAATTCCATCATCAATGGGCATCAAGGAGATTTAATATAAAAATAATACAAGAAAGACTTGGGAATAAACAAACATCATCTTCAGTGGACATGATGGTGACTTAACATGGGGAAGGTTTATGAAAGACCTGTGCATAAAGTTAACACATTTATTCATCAATGGGCATCAAGTTGATAGAACATTAGGATAATATAAGAAAGACGTGTCAATAAACAAACGTCATCATTAATTGGCATCAAGGTGACTTAACATCAGGATAGTATAAGAAAGACTTGTGAATAAAGTTAACACATTTATTCATCAATGGGCATCAAGTTGATAGAACATTAGGATAATATAAGAAAGACGTGTCAATAAACAAACGTCATCATTAATTGGCATCAAGGTGACTTAACATCAGGATAGTATAAGAAAGACTTGTGAATAAAGTTAACAAATTTCATCATCAATTGGCATCAAAGTGATTGAACATAAGGATAATATAAGAAAGACTTGAAGTGCATGAACAACTGCATTCGTCAGTGAACATCAAGATGACATACTATACAACGACATAGAACGAGTGAATAAACACCATCGACTTCGGTAAGCAAGATGATCTTTGCATCAGGACAATATGTTACAACGCCTCAAGTGTCAGTTAACACAATAACCAAACGTTCGGAACACAAAGATGACAAAGACTTGTGAATGAACAACGACTGGACCTGAACAACGCTTTTTACCACGAGTATCCACCATCTTCTCTCTCAAACAACCCGTGAACATCCGGGTTAGAAGTGATCTTCAGTAACCCATGCTTGTCGTAAGAGGCGACTAACGGATCGGGTGGTCAGGCTCGCTGACTTGGTTAACACATGTCATCGTATCCCAATTGCGCAGATCGATGCACATGCTGTTGATCACTGGATTGTCTGGTCCAGACTCGATTATTTACAGACCGCCGCCATATAGCTGGAATATTGCTGAGTGCGACGTAAAACTAAACTCAATCACTCTCAATCAAAACAAGAAGCTTTATTCATCTCACACTGATGCATGGATGATTGGGGGAGTGAACCTTTATACTATTGTCAGACACAAAGTCGAGGGGCACAGCGATCGGAAATTGACAGCCGTCACATCCTGAGTTGAGGCGGATAGCGACAAGACAAGGGAAGCTTTATGTCCAAATGAATATTTTCAATGAGTATTTTTACAATTAACAAACCATCATTTCCTCTGTATTTGCCGTTGTGATGGTCAACTAGCTCTGGAGTAGCTATTGTACGTGGACCATGAACTGACACTGCCCAGCCGATACTGAGTCGCAAGCTGTTACATTACATGTGTCTAATATACGAATATCTTTTACAAGCTCATGCTGTTCATTTCCATGCTCATTCTATGTTTATAAACTAACTAATCAATACATGTTCTGACGGCAACTATATAGTCCAACAAATCCGCAGGTATCGCGATAACGATCTACAAATTTTTTATCAGAGTAATGCTGCAACAAACGGGCGTCATATGACGTAAATAAAATGATGCATACCGTTTGTGCATGACTGAATCAAAACACTACAAACGGGCAATCAGGTAATTACATAGATATATCTGCAAAGGTGTAATAGTCATTACATTTACAAATCTTACTGTAAATGAAGGCATCCGGCAGGCGAAATTAAATTTCTGAAACCCCAACTGCGATTTGATTTTCAAACATCACACTTCCTATTAGAATAGGTACATATTTTGAAATATAGTCGTTGTGCCGAATTAAAAGATAACTAGGTAATCACCTCAAGGTATTCGAGGTTCGACACAGCTGCAAGAAGGTGACTAGAAAGGAAAACGCATGGACCAAGCGTTGACCATAAGACAACCGTAATGTCGACACAAGGTGTTTGGCTTTATACCTGCACTGAAAGTAGTTGCAGAAATGTAAAAGGGCATGTGGCTGCATAATAGCGCATTGATCATTACTAGTAGTAGTAGTAGTAGTAGTAGTAGTAGTAGTAGTAGTAGTAGTAGTAGTAGTAGTAGTAGCAATAGTAGTGGGGCGGTGGGGTAGCCTAGTGGTTAAAGCTTTCGCTCGTCACGCCGAAGGCCCGGGTTCGATTCCCCACATGGGTACAATTTGTGAAGCCCATTTCAGGTGTCCCCCGCCGTGATATTGCTGGAATATTGCTAAAAACGGCGTAAAACCATACTCAGTCAGTCAGTCAGTCAGTCAGTAGGTAGTAGTAGTAGTAGTAGTAGTAGTAGGAGTAGTGAGTGAGTGAGTGAATGAATGATTTGGGTTTTACGCCACGTTTAGAAATATTCCAGCAATATCACGGCGGAGGACACCAGAAAAGGGTTTTACATAATGTAGCCATGTGGGGAATCGAACCCGGGTCTTCGGCGTGACGAGCGAACACTTTAACCACTAGGCTATCCCATTCTAAACTCCCTGCGGGTATACAACTTTAAGGTCAACTGTCACACTACCATCTCAAAGTAGCAGCAGCAGGAGTAGTAGTAGTAGTAGTAGTAGTAGTAGTAGTAGTAGTAGTAGTAGTAGTAGTAGTAGTAGTAGTAGTAGTAGTAGTAGTAGTAGTAGTAGTGGGAGGAGTAGACGGAGAAGGAATAGTTTTATTGCGTCAGCATTATACATGTTGTTCATGTTTGGAAGTAGTCTAGTCTAGACCAGACATTCGGATGATTGATCTCACGTGCAATATATGGGTATGCTGACACCTGGATATGTTAACACACAATCCAGTAATTCATTGTGTCTGATCACCCGATCCATAAGGTCGCCTCTTACGACCAGACATCAAGGGCCTTCTCCCAGACAAGATATTTAAACTATAGTTACCGCAACGACCAAAGGTCGGGGCCCAGTTGATTTTAAACAGTGATATGCTTTTATAATTCTGTGTTTAATATTCATTTTGCCATGGAATTGAAACACTGGAGTATTTTTGTGATGCTTAGAGAATCCAAATACCTGTCCTTCAAACCACATTAAATTTTAATTTTAAATGGGGTGAACAGGGAAACATCGTTTATTCATTAAAGGAAGTCATCGATCAATACATTAAGGCTTTAAGATCTGAAATAGCACCTGACCTACATTACACTTCCTTCCACGCGACACAAGTTGGGATTGGGGCGTATAATATTACACGTCAGCTTCAGCGAATATACATTACTGATTATATGAACAAACAGAACCCATTTGCAAAATGTGAGTTTGAATGACAACTGGGTGATGACACCAGGTGTTTTCGAAAAAGAGTAGACATGTCCCATACCGATTGCACTCACCTCGCATAAAAATATATTTGTTCAAATTAGGAGACGACAATAACAACACATCAGTGAGTGTGTGTGTTTACTTCTACGCCGCATTTAGCAATATTCCAGCAACATCACGGAAATGGGTGACATGGTAAACACTAAATATGGGCTTAACACATGGTACTAATATGGGGAATCGAAGCCGGGTTTTCAGCGTAAAGAGCGTTTTAACCACTAGGCTACCCCACCACCCGAACATTTTAGTGTGAAGCTTGTTGTAGAATGAACAGCGCTTTCAATGAGTGTCCATTTGTACAATCCTCAGTATTTGGATATATCAGTTGTGAGTGAGTGAATGAGTTTAGTTTTACGCCGCACTCAGCAATATTCCAGCTACATGACGGCGGTTTGTAAATAATCGAGTCTGGACCAGATAATCCAGTGATCAACAGCATGAGCATATATCATTTATGAAGCCCATATTTCAACATCAGTACTTACCACAACAGTCGACTTCCCTGGAGATTGTGTCACCAAGTCCTGACTCCGTACTGGCGTGGATACCCCGGGGGACTCGTCCCCTTCCTCCAGACCACGTGACACATCCTTTCCAGTTCCACCGGATCTGGTCCGACTGACTTGTGACTTTTTTATGGTTCCTCTCTTCGGGCGGACTAAAGTCCCTTTGCGTGTTAACATCGACATTGTGACGTGGCATAACAGTGGCGAGACGAAAGATAATGGCTTAATCCTTTCTTCTGATGGCAAGGTCTCTGAAAGTAAACGTACAGGACCTTAAAGGTAGTCACCCGGTCACGCCTGATAACTGGAGGAGTGTAAATAACACGTGGTCCAGATACGTTACAATGGAGTTCCTTTCTGTCAGGTAGTACGGCATCTTGATTGAAGGCATCTTGCAAAATAATTAATCAGCTGAGGATGTAATAAACACTGAATTTTATCCTGTGTTATCGTTACACGTCCAAAGGAAAATTTAGATGAATTTGAAAATACAGCATCCAAATTAAAAGTAAACGTGCTTACTGATCAATCTGCACAAACCCATTTAAAAACCATTACAGTCATAAGATAAAACATGGATGCGAAATATATTATTAGTCACTAAATTCCACGAACCTTGTTCAGTTGATGACAAATTTGAAAGAAAACCAGCTCTATTTCAATTTACACAGGAGGCCAGTCTCTGTACGAATAGTACACTAATCCCGAATTGTTTGTCATTCTTATCAACAATCACATGTGTAGGTAATTAGTTTAAAGAAGCTCTCAACTCAGGACCGAACACAGGCGTTCTATGAAGATAGGAGCGGGACAAAATAGATAATAGAATTTATCAATTTACAAACATTAGTATGGACGCCAACCCAATTCAGTCTCAGCATGGCTTTGAATACAAGGGCGCATAATACTGGGATTAGGTTAGGCATCGATTTCCCTTTGCAACTGGATCGACCAATGCGATGGATCCGATGGCACAAAGTCACGCGGACATTAGGACTACATTGGCAGTGTCCACCATTAGTGTCCAGTACGGTCATTAAATGATACAATATATGTGAGCTCAGTCTGACGATAAGTGCTGTGAAACATGCGGAAATTAATCCCTGCCTATACGGAAGGATTAAGGATTAGATAATTAATATGCATACACCAGGGTGATATGTTTACGACAATTGACTGGCAGGGACAATAGGTATACCTGGAAAAGAAAGACGTCATAATGGTTTGAACTGTTTTTGTACAAGACGTGTATCTATCACTGTGTTTGTGAGAATTGTATGCTTACATGGAATATTCTTCATTTCTCATCCTGCGTGTACTGTCTGTTGCTATCGACTGATCATCCTTATATGATAGGGCAGTTGGCTATGCGTGTTTTACGAGGCTATGCCCATTAGGAAATGTATTTTGTTTTATATTATTTTCATCTATTCGTAAGAAAACATTGGTTGGTTAAAGTTGATGTACCATGTGCCCAATCCTAAATCTGTTCTGAATATAGACCGATGATGAGACTGACGACACGTTGACTTGGATTGCATGTCGTAATTATGGCTCACCTGGACGGACAGTGAGAGACTCACTCCTGCACATCAATGTCTCATTTCTGCAGAATATGTTTATGTCATATTGTAAATGTATACATATGTTGAAATGAAATGTGAAATGTGAAAACCACAATTCAATCCAAAATATATGTTAAAGAGTTGCAATAGGTCATTATCAATGTGTGAACCAATAAGGAGCATGTATATGGCGTGTGAATGTTGCACTATTGATATCGGTATCGTTATGTCGCTTCTGTCCTGCTACTTCTGTGTGACAGTTACAAACACGAACAATCATTTATCCAACACATTTACTTTTATTTCTAACTACGTTCCAAACGTACATCAGTTGAATCATCATTCACATAGTTTCAACACTGTGCGCTACAAGATCATCAAAATATATCGCATCAGATTTACCCACCTGAATGAAAGAAAGCAGCGTCACAGCTTCATCTGTTTCGTATTTCATAAAGATTCGCACTGGCAAAACACTCTCTACCAGGCGGTATATGAGTAATCACTCCAGTTTTCCAATTGTCAACGTTATCTTTGTTTCGAGCATATACCAGCATCTCTGGCATTTGGTGTCTTCGTTTGAGAACGTTTAAGGTATATCGAGGATGCCCTAACTGCGATAGTTTGACAAATCGTCATCCAGTTCCCGTGTCTTTTCAGGTGAACACTTGACTTGTCTTTGCAAGTGTTTGTGCAGGTGGGACAAGATACGATTACTATTTCGCTAGCATCTGGTACCATAACTATTTGACAGATAGTCCTGAACACGTGCTCATGATACAATCAGACTCACACAGTGGACTCTTATTTCCTATGATTTGGGAAATGTCTTTTGCTCATATTTAAAGTCATACAATGACTGCCTTTTATCAATAAAATATATCTTACCAGAGCCATAGGAAGATAAACCGACATTACGCATGAATAGTTCTGTCCCAGTACATAAACTTAACACCGCATCGTTCCGTGAAGATGTACACTAAGGACCACTCCACTCATTGTATGTGACCTGTTAATGGTCCAGTGTCAAAATTAAGGTAAGACTTCACGGACAAAAATCAATCAGTAGTTAAAGCAAACATCTCGACAAATAGTTTCTAAATGTACATTATTAAAAGAGTAGTTAACCCATGACCTTTATACCAGCTGAATCAATAACGATGAGTTCGTTCAATACATGACATTTTTACATCTTAATTGACCTCATTTTGCACAGGACACATTATTTTACAGATACTTGATCCCATGTTTCCGAGGCACTGATCATCCGTTTATCTATGTATGACGGCAGGCTGACAGGTAAGTAATCGATAATACTGAACCATCGGCTACATTTTGACATATACTGTTTCCAATTACCATGTCAGGTAAAGTATATATATATGATAGCCTCGGAGGTTGAGCGTTATTTTAATTGCGGTCTTGTCGTTGGGCATATAAATATTGATCCACTTACCCTGTTGATATCCATATGTTTTAACATTTTGACTTGTACGCCAAGTGGTAGCCGAGTCTGTCTGTTCTACGGCATTGCCATTTAATAGTGGTTGTTACCGATATGATTATTTTATGGGTTGGTTGAAATTTGATATGTGTCATCGGTGTAAACGAATACAAAATTAAGGCATCCACACATAAAGCTAAATTATCCAAATAGTAAAGTAATATGAAATACTGGTACCTGAAATCATTCGTTTATGCAAGAGTATAATCAGCAAATATGGGAACATTAATCATACATAAATAGTATGGCGTGTGAGTGTGTGTATGAGAGAGAGCTGGAGAGAGAGATAGAGAGAGAGAGAGAGAGAGAGAGAGAGAGAGAGAGAGAGAGAGAGAGAGAGAGAGAGAGAGAGAGAGAGGTATAGACAGACAGACCGAGAGACAGAGAAAGTGAAAGGGAGAGAGTTTGTGTGTGTTTGAGAGAGAGAGAGAGCTGGAGAGAGAGGCTGTGAGGTTTTAACTTTGAAGAAAAGAGAATAGCATTGAAACTTGAAATGAATGCCAGCTTAGAGCAAATTTAAGTATTCATTTCTCGCGCAAAGATACATGGAATATTATGTTACATTGGAAGTTTCAGTGTTTGGCTCATTCTAATGAGATTTTAGTGAATTTCTTAACCGAATCATATTACATTGTAAATATTCAGATACACTTTTAATATTCAAAATATTTAGAACGATTTTAACAGTATTGTTCATGACAAAAATATTACCTACCTGGCTCACAAGTCAAGAACTCGTTCCTCCTTCAACGGTGACATTTTCCAATCAATGAACCATCTAGTGATGCAACTCAGTATTGGTTGAGCTGTGCATCCTCCGACATGGCTTGTCGTAATTGCAGCCATTACAGGAGGAATACATGTGCAGGCGATGCACATCCGCTTCCAGCAGTCTGTCAGTCAGCTGATGCTAGAATTCCACTTAGCCATTGACAAACAGCCTGCCAGATTGGAATACACCAGTAGATAAATAACATCAGTACAATACGTTATCTCGTTGATTGTGTTGGGATAACATCTCAATTGCTTCAAATGGCTTTAAAACGTTTCTTTCCCGTGGCTGGGAAACAATGACGACACTTCTAAGCTAATTTAGCTGAAATCAAAGTTCTCCATTAATCGGAAACGAGTCTATATTGATGACAGTGGCCTCCCTTTGAATGTGTGACAGAGATGATTTGTTGGAGAACCCTAAGGGAATCTACGCAGGCTGTCAAGTACCCGGGCCCGACACGAGGTGATACACTGAAACTGTGGAGAGTGTGAAGGCTGTTATTGGACAATTCCCTCAGCTGTGGTGACTGTGATGCTGATGATCGTCACGACCTATCACCATTTCCCTTTTGTCAGCGTCGGCGTGTTACTCTGTGGGATAAATGGGTGTATTAGGCTGAACCGCATCCCATATTGATAATCACAGATTAGCATCTCTGAACTCGTTGACAGTTTCCTATCCATCACGGCTGTGAATAACAATATCATATAGGTGTCTGCTTTTCCTGCTGTGGTGTTGACAGATACGTAAATAATATTTCCTCTGATGTTCCGTCACAAATATTTATATCACGATAGATATGTGTGATTTGCTAAGAAAAGATGTACTTAAATATCGCAACGGAAATCATCATCTTGCAGCATCAGAATATCATCGCCAACACACAAACCATGATTAGTACAATCCATAATAGGAATATATGACTGGATTATTTCATGACATGTTCCGTAATAGTTGGACAGGTAATAAATATATAAAGATATATACGTTGATATAGACTAACACGTATCGGCATGAAACCTGACTGTTCTAGTTTTCTGCAAAAGCAGTCGACGTCCTAAAAAATACAATTTATGTGTGTAGATGTCTCCAAAATGAACAAGAATACAGCACAAACCAATCCTGAATTGTGCTTCAGAACTTCTGGTTTTTTGTTAACCGTCGTACTTATGACCCTGTCAGTGTCTGGCAGCACGGGTTTAGACCTGAGTATCTCGGAATTAGTCTCATGTGTCTGTGTGTAACACCAATGTTAAACTGTGACAAGTATCTAAGTGGGCCAGCACTGTCAACACCATACTGGTACAAGCAACCAGACACACGTCCATCCATCGCTATATAACTGAACTAGTCGAGAGAGAAACGCGCCGTTGAACCCGCTATTGTTCACAGATTACACTGTGTAGAGCATTGCCATGGCATCACGGGACATTTGTGTTTTAGTCACAGATTCTTAATTTGGCCCGTTACGGACCCTTGGAAAGAATAAGAGCACAGGTAACATGTAGGGTTTCGTTGACAGACCCAGACAGTCATATAAACGCCATAAAACCAAGAAAATTCTGCGAAAAGCAACGTCGATTGTACAATTCTCAACTATTAACATTAACATGTGTTACATTACAACTATTAACATTTGTTACATTGCAGATGTATATGTAAATTTCGTGCTTGCATTGAGGAGGGGAAGAGTACATGTAACCTACCTTTGTTTCAGGTCTAACCACTGTCCTCCAACTCTCAGGAACACAGCCGTATCCTATATTTCTAGAAAAATCGTTTTAATGCATTATTTGTCAGTGCCACCTACGACCTTTACCAACATCATCTGTTGGATGGCGACAATGGCACGCTCTCATTTCTGAGAGTTATATATAAGTACCATAGCTACATTATATATGGGACATAGATTTGCGGGGTAAATGGCAAATGTAGCATTTAACGAGTGAACGGAAAAAGTTATATTTTATGATGCAGCAATATTGGGGTATGTGTGCTGTGTTCTCTACTACGGGCTGGGGGCGAGAAGTATGAAGCTAAGATGGACGCATTAAAACACAAATATCCGTGTCATACTGCTACACTACACTATAGTGCATGGTTCAATCAGTCATTTTTAGCAAATAAACAAACAATATTGTAAGAACACTGCTGTTCGATTCAGCTAAGGTTAAGATGCATTCAACACGTGGCTTTCATTGACACGTGGCTTTCATTGACAACGAATAGCTTCTTCGCTTGGTATCTCGGTACATGGGACTTTTCATTCACTTAAAATCCGTGTGCAACCCCTTTTCTTTAAGAGGTGTGAAGGATTTATTGGCCCGTTCAGAAATTATGTTTTTGCACAGACGGATTACATTTTGAATTCTATGAAAGCTCTCCTGAACCGGTCAGATCGTAACCTTGAGACATGGAGGAGGTTAGGGACATGTAGACTGAGCACGTTACATTATACTGTTAGAAGATACACGTGTGGGGGTGGGAGTGTTCGGTACCTAATAGCACCAAAACTATTAGGGATCACTTTGATGACTAATGACGACGACGACGACCATGATGCTGTTGCTGCTGCTGCTGCTGCTGCTGATGATGATGATGATGCTGATGGTGATGATGATGACGACGACGACCTTTGCCATGGGCCATGGGTGACCTGGCGTGTTCTGATTTGATCGGAGATGCAGTTACCGTGTACAGCTAAAGAGTCCGTATATTCTAGACAATACCATGACACATCGGAAACAGATAATCGGAAACATCGAAAATTTTTACTCAAATGTACAATTTGTACAATACACGTGTCATTTCTTTTTTAAGAAGAAGCATACACGAATAAGTGGAACCTTATCTTAAACGTTTGATTCGCCTAACTTCATTGATTCACGAATGCGTGAGTTGAATGATTCAAAACTGAAAATCGTGTTTATACGGTTGGGTTATTTATCAATAACCTAGACTCAGCATATGACCCTAAAACTACGTCACAGTCTTAATTAGTCATGACACGAATAGCTTACAATACTTTTGAACACGCGACAGCATTTCCTCTGTGAACGGGGTGGTGGGGAAGTATGTCTTTAAAGCGTTCACTCATCACGTAGACGACTCCCCACATGGGTACATTGTGCGGAGCCCATGTCTGGTGTCCCTTGCTGGAATATTGCTAGACGCTGTGTAAAACCATACTCCCTCACTCCTCTTTGAACCCTTGAGGCTCATATGCATATTACCCATGAAGAGCCGACTTAATATTGGTTTTCAGTGGCGACTAACGGAATCAGGTGGTCGGGATCTCTGACTTGGTTGACACAGGTCATCGAATCCCAGTTGAGTTGATCAATACTCATGTTGATGATCACTGGATTGTCACTGATCACTGGATTATTTACAGGTAGCCTCCATATAGCTTGAATACTGCTGAGTGCGACATTTAACAACAACCCACCCCCCCCCCAAAAATATAAAATAGAAGTCATATGTATATTTTATTTTTGAAATTATCCCAAATTACTAAAACGGTATACTACCACTATAGCAATGCTATACATACATAGTTAAGTTTGTGTAGTTATCCATCATAAAACCGTTAATCTGTAGTCACTTAAAATCCCTTTCATCACTCACTTACAAAAACAATTAGTATAACTCCGCGCCTTGAAAGTCATTCAAATTGAGAATAAGTCTTTGAAAATCAGGAAGCTATTCCACATATGCCACGATAGTATGATCCACTGTCGTGGGATCAAAGGAATCCTGACAGTCACAATAACGGACAGCGATCATATTGTCGGAGACCGTCAATGATCTGTTAGAAAGGGTTTAACAAAATCGGATCCAAGTGCTTTGTGCTACAGCGCCACCATACAGAATGAGTGACGGGTCTTCAAAGCTCAGATCAGTCAGTGGATCTCATTCTAAAATTGACCAAACCAACGTCGTCGACTGACCAGTTCGTTAACATAGAGTTAACCAGTGTGTGATACATTGCATTGCTTTACAAACAAACGGGAATGTGCACCAAACCCGCAAAAGGTATATTGGGTTTTTCGTTGCTGTTTGAAAGCACTTGTGTTGCTGTTCACAGCTGAAAACCGAAGACGAAGTTTGTGGAAAACATAAGAGGGCCAAGGTGGCTGCTACTTTGGTTCACCCACTAGCAGGCGTGTCATGATGGCAAGCCGTAAATCATAACCTGGACGAAATGTGGATCCGACCTGACGAGCTTCTGATACAACAGAAATGCTCAAACGGCTATAATAGTTATACCTCAACACGCAGTTAAAGCAATACAATGATGTACTTGGACCAACCCTTGTCAAAAGCAGTGATATTTACTGAAAATACTTTTAGTTAAACCCTTGCCCCTACGAGGTAACACGCGGAATAGTCCACGAAGCCTATCTATGTTCCAACATTTCAAGCCACACCTTAACAATGTCTCGCACATCAAAAGAACACCACGCATTATATTGGATTAGCCGCGCTAGTCTCCATGTTTGCTAGCGGGGAACACGGATCTGAGCGAACAGAATATTAAACAGGGGGCAAGTGTGCCATCTCCTGCAGGTAATGAATCCTTTTAGCAACGAATTAGGATCAGGAAGCGTCAGTACACTTCGTTTTTAGCCCTCCATCACTCATGAACGAAGCATTATTAGGCGCAATTGTTTGAAATTCAAATGCATAAACTAAAGAAGGGAGGACAGAAACGTGCATTTTGAAATGTCAGATATTGCAAAGAATGACATTATAATGATGTCACTTTAGCATGTAGAAAATGAAATAACTGGCTTTTTAGTTTTTTACTGCCTAAGACGAATCTGCACATAAACACATTATTTGAAATTTGTCACCGATGTGCTTTGATTAATAGAAAGATTATAGTGCCCCGTAAGACTTATGTTAATATGGTAATGTTTAATATATAGTCAGCACGTGTATATTATAGAATTTTTCACAAACGTCTCTCGCTCGTAAGAGCAATATGATTGGACAGCAAGTTTCGTAGAGTCGTTTGCCTATCGGGTTTAAAACTAACCGGAAATTTAGCGACTTTATCCAGGGTATTCATGATCAAACAGTAGAGATGTAATACCTTGGTTACTTTAAGATATATTTTTAATGCACAAAATGCTTTTGAAACATTTTAGTGGGCGACGGAGATGGCATGTCATTGAATTCTGTGAAACCATCATGGATACACTTACCACATAGGCTAACGCGAGATGTCCAAATTCGGGATTAAAAACGATAGGGTAACGAAAATTGTTTACAAATTTGATTATACAAATATAGTAAACCGTACCATAAGTGATCCTGGAGTGATTTAATGTCAACGTATAAGACATCCGCATTTTACAGGGTTCAGCAGGTGGGAAGAGAAGAAATAACACTGCATAGTTCTTTATAGTCTCATATCTATGGAGATATACAAATGTTCATTTTAAAAGCTGAGGAGAAGAAAAAGTAAATATTAATCCTGATACATAGCCATCTCCAATCTACAGTGTGGTATTAATTTTAGCTATAGATGGTAT